TATATCCGTTGGAGAAAATGCGACGTCGGGATTCCAGGTTCTCCAGGGCTCCACTTTAATAACGCATTCGCCTCGGAAAAAGGGCGCTTTGCAAGCTGGTGATCGACAGAGCTCGCATTGTGGAGGCTGGAAGAGGCGCCTAAAAGCGGACCGGAAGCGAGTCGCTGGTGACAAAAGTCACTCGTTACCGTGTATCGCGTCTCAAAGGAGAGAACGACGGAAGGGGGCCCGGGATTACGTGCATTTTCGCCGGGAAAATGCCAAGTTAGGGCACCCTTTTCGCCCCTTCGGGTCGCATCACGGGTCACCGGGTCTGCATTGTCATAACGTGCAGAGTGCAGGGTGCATCCAGTCCTCTCAGGTAGGTCCTCCGAAGTGAGAAAATGTTCATTGCAAATATAACCGGGGATTTTACGGGCGATAATTCCGCGGGGGGGCATCCCGCGCGTTATCACGCGGTATCTCCGAGCCCGCCACCCTCGAGCTCATCCAAAATGAAGGAACCACGTCCGGCCTGGATGGTCTCAACGGGGGAAACGTGGAATCGCGATCGCAGGTGTTGCCGGCATTAAGGGCTGTCATTTCCTACGGACGTGATGCTAACTCGGGGGGATCCACCCCCTCCGAGATTACGAGGGTTAGTGCCGCATCTTGACCCCCCGTGGCGATCGCTGCCGGGATAATTGCCGGATGATCGCGCGAATCTAGCCAGCCTGCTCCGAATGCGTTCATCTCTTCGGCTTCGTTTAATAAACGTCGGGAATAAATCCTGTCTCATTTTCGGCATTCTCTTGAGGATCTAGGCGATCATTACGAGGGTTATCGTTGGATCTTGATCCTCCATGGCGATCGAAGCGTTCCTCATTTCCACTTAATTTCTGGGGTAGTTCCCCTTTCTCGCCGGGCCTTCTTCAGGGTCTTCTTCGAGGGTCTGGCGAGCGCCATGGGTCGGCTTGAAAATTGGAAAAGAACAAGGGACACTCGAGGAACCCCTCGAAATTGCAATTACCGGGGCTCACGTCGCTCCCCCGGGCTCGCGGGTGCATCTCAGGGATGCGTCCCAGCCGCTGCGGATGCACCGCGGGAATCAAACGTTATGGCCTCGCGCGCTGCACCCTCGGTCCCGGCACGTGTAAGTGGGCCGCGTACATATGGAGATTGGAAAATTTGAATATTGTATAATCACTGGCAGGAACTACCATTACTTCATTAGGCAGTTGCCGGACCGGCCGAACGCGCCGTGTGATTAGAATATTCCTAAGACGGGCGTTATCGAAAATCGGTGCATAGGCCTAAGTGCACGTACCTCCTCGGAGAGGAAAATCTCTGTTACCGAAAAACTATGATTTCTCCGAATAATGCTCATTTCTCTGAAATAACACTTATCATTATTTAATGTCAAAAGCAAGATACGAGGACGAACCTTACCCTGCCCTCTAACAGCCCCATACAAAATTCCGAGGAAAATCCAGAAAAATGGAGAAAAAATTTGGAAAATTCCTAAAATCCAAAATTAATTTTTCCTGGATACTTGAGGGGTCTCGCAGGGTTCTATAGATGTCTGGCGTGCGTTTCTATCTCCTCTATCTGGAGTTTTTCCATTTTCTCGATGCATCCCTGGCTCTTCAATCGGTCTCCCCGTGAGAAATTACTCCTGGCAGGCGTCCGGCCTCGGCAATACGTTTTACTCGTCCGCGTCCAATAACCGGCTGCACCATAAATTAACGCCTTCCAATAAGCGCTAAATCGTCTCCTGCGCCGGACAAAACTGATCGCCCGTGGGAAACGATGTGGCACCGGCAATACCGCTTCATTTCGTACGTGGGGTGGCGGAGGGAGCCCCTTCGATATCGAAGGATACCCTCCGTGAATTTTCCCCTCGAAATTGTCTCCCGATCCAGAACGGACCCTAAAGAGTAAGTAATCGTAACAACTCTTCGAGGAATTCCCGCAAACAGAGGGAGAAATTCCGGCCGATCGAAATGTGGAACTCTCGAGTTTGGGGAGCAGCCTCGAAGTGGGCCGATAGCTCCGAGCTCGCGTTCGGATGATTCAGTCTGGTGGCCTGGAATATTGTCCTGTTTAGTTTATTAGGGTGCATCCAGGACTGCATCCGTGTCCGTATTGTGCATCGGGGTACGGCTCTCGAGGGACGTCGCCGTAATTGCCGGCCCTCCTTCATTACGGCTAAATACTCCGCGCGACCTTTTGCACACAGACGATGTTGCCTGTCTTCGTTCCACGGACCCCGGGAGTCCTCTCGAGGATCCCGGAAGGACTACGGGACTTCTTCCCGCAGGACTCGGAACCGGATCCCTCGGGACCTGGTTCGGAAGTCCGGGAATAGGGACCTCTTAAAAGGGAAACGACCGCGCCGTAAACGGGGCCGCGACTGTTCCGCCATGGGGAACGAAAAGACCGCAATGACGCACATAGGAAACCAAGAAAATCGAAATGATTATTTTTTTCAATTGACAAGGTTGATCGACAATCTAGGTAATTTAAATAGCTCGGCCCCGTCTTTGCCGACACTTCTCGCAGTTATTTCTCTTTATTCTTCTTTATTTCCTCCTCCGGGGAATTATTTACGCGAGGTGGCCGACGCTGCATCGGCCGATCACGGTCCAGCGTGCACCGGCGGGAAGCGGGAAAAAGGGAGCGGAGAAAGAGAGCGGACACAAAAGGAGGTAGAGCCCGGAATCGAGAGCAGACTACGTGGCCTGTTGCCAAAAGCTCTCTCTTCCCTGCTTTATCTTTCCCCCTTTCCCGAGGGCGTCTTTGTCGGGAGGAGATCCCTCCGCGGCCGGCCGGACCAGGATCGATCCTCGCCGCCTACGATTTCTCTCCACTTTCCTCGTCGCTCGCTTCTCTTTTTTCTCATCTTCCTCCGTGTCTTTACGTTTCCACGCACTTATCCATCCATAAAATTAATTACCACACTTATGGGATTTTTTTTTTTAAATATTTGTCGAGATGAGATCCCACCGCGGACCAGGATCGATCCCCGCCGCCTCCGATTTTCCTCCACTTTCCTCGTCGATCACTTTTTTTCTCACCTTTCTCCATACTTATCGGCACTTATCCATCCGTAGGATCACTTGATACCTCCGTTGGATTTTTTTCTCGGATAATTTTGCAAACATATTTCTCTACCCTGGCTCTTCGCCAAGTTTCGCCTCCTCCCTTCTCTGCCTCCTCCTTTTTTTCTGCCAGGCGTCTTCGTCCTGGCTAAATCTCTACGTCCTGGCGGAAATGATCAATGGACGTCGCTGCCACGCACGCGGGATGATTATCGGTGCAAGTGCATCGGTGCCGTCCGAGTGCACTCCCCAGGCACGACCCTCCGCCATGAAGTACCCAGTCGTGCCCAGTTCCATTCAATTAAGTACCGAGGGCTGGCATTAACGCGTCCATCATTCGTGTAATGGCCGCTACCTCGAGACCTCGCAATTACAAATGTTAGGCCCGATTAGGCCTCGTCAGCTCCGATATCTCGACGACGACGATCGCCCTCCATGAAATTGCATCTAGATGGACGTTCGGTCGGAACCCTCTCGTCTCGGCTCCTCAAAGTTGCATCCCGAAATGCACGCTGCACCTGCAGGACCTCGTCGCGTCTGCAATCATGGCTGATCCTGCTATCTGACAGGAGCGATTCGAATCTCACTCCAGATATTACCAAGTGAAGCTAAGTCGCTGGAATTTCTTTTTTATCATTTTTCAAGATGCACTTTCAGCCTTGCAGGTAATTGTGCAGGTGCGATGCCTTGGAAATTGCGTCTGGAACGTTATCTTCCGGTTGAATTTCTCGAGTGATAAGGGGGTTCGGCTGAAACTTCAGGTTTCTGCATACCGACTGAAGCTTGCAGGTGCATAAGGTGCAACGCGGGGGGATGGAGTCTTATCAGGCGCTGGTTTCCTTTATCATCGGTGAAACCCCCAGTCGGTAAATTCTGACGAGCTCTAACTCCCGGAAAACCTCCATCGAGGTCTCCTTCGGCTACTCCTGCAATAATTTCCCATGAATAAAAAAATCCATTGTTTAATTATTTAAGTATTTAATCCTTCGAGGGATTTTTCCGACATGAATTCGGGCTCTGGATTAATAGAAATGTTTAAATAAACGTCGTTTGAATTTTCATGTCAAACCCCTCGACCGTACCGACCGCTGGTTAATTAATAATCCCGAGTGTCGTTAATAATGCCAATATTTATATTTTAGGTGACGTTTCGAATTCTCGCGTCCGTTAATCCGACCGAATGTGCGGCGAATCTGAAAGTCAATGAGGAGAATTCATATGCAGGGAAACTTGGCAGGCCTCGCTGAAGAAGCTAGAGGATTCTGGGTTTATTACCATAGAAAAGATTAATCGAAGGAGGACAAACACCATTAAACTCGCTCTATTCATGTCGAATAAATGAATAATGAACACGCCGGACCATCCTCCGAGGACCATGGACCATGTCGCGGAATTTCATCCGGACTCGTCACCCCTGGGTTAATTAATGATAAAAAGAACCATCTAAAAATTATTCCAGAAAATATTAAAATCACTATTCAGATATCAAGATTTATTGTACAAGAAATGCACAGTCGAAAATCGATCGCCTTCGAACGAGGAGAAAATTATTTTACAAAATGGCGGCCCCCGCGAGATGACCCTCCGCAGATCGAAAATGGCATCCGACTACAGTCTCGTTTTGGGAAAAAATATAAAAAATCGGCATGGAGGGGGTCAAGGAAACGGAAATCTTTTCGGGCTGCCGGCAGGACTCGAAATTTACACAAGATAGACATTTCGCACCGTGCTGTACAGGCTAATTGCGTTTAATTATTAACCCATGTCGAGTTTCATTTATTAATTAGCACCACCCGGTCTGTACACGGTTTTCGACGAGTTTAATAGGGAATATTTTACAATGTGCACGGCAATCTCGGGAGAGAGAGAGAGAAAGAACGTACCTCGACCGCTCGGACGGTCCGATTGTTAATGTACATTTTACAACAAGTAGGCCGTCGAAGCTTGCAAAAAGAGGAAGTTGGCTAAAATCGCGAAGTTCGCCAAAGGACTTTCGCGATGGCAGGTCCTTGCCGAGTTCCACTGGTCGTGATGGACAGCGGCTTGCTTCTCTCCTGGAAATATATTATATTAATAAATAAGAAGTGTCGTTAAGGATAATTACCGAATTAATAATAATTACCCACCATTAAGGACATGTAGGTGAACCATGGTCGTGCTGAATTGCCCGAGCGAGCAGGTGTACTCCCCACTATCAGTCTTTTTGGCCCGTTCCACGTAAATCCTGCTTATCAGCTCCTCCTCGGAACTAAAATCCGAAATAATGGATTAATCTAGACGATCCTCGGAATAAAAAATCTGGAAGATAATCAAGGCTTTCGGAATTTTTTATTTATCCACTAAGAAGTCATTTACCCGTTCACGTGGAGAATTTTCACGTGATCTGGGAGAATGTCCCCATCTTTCGTCCACATTGGATGCGGCACTTTTGCTCCGGATTGAGACGGTCTTATGACACATGCAAGTTCGATGCCACTTCCGGTCTTGTAGTATCGATCTCGCACCACCCGATCGGCTTCGTCGACGATTTTGATGTCCGGGGCTGGAACGGCAAAATTTCGATAAGAAATGAATTACCTCGAAACATAAAAAATGGAACATCAGGAAAATAATTGTGTAAATAAATTAATATTAAAAGAATCTTTGGAGATATTGCGCGAAGATGTCGAGGATTAAATTCTTCGCTATTTTCATATATTTAGGTATATTAACGTTTACATATGTACGTCGTCTTCCAAGGGACGATATTCCGAAACCCAGGCTTCCATGTATCCTTGTATACCGTAAGGACGTCGAGGACGAGGCAGCTCCTGGCTAAGGGAAGGTCTCCCTTTGTAGCCGAAGATAAGCCACCCCGTTGGATGTTCTCGGGGGTGGCGATGCATTTACCAGCTTTTTGCATCGCATCGGGGGCTCGCGGGCGCAAGATACGGGGGATATTTCCTTTGGAGGGTGTAATCCCCTCGCCCCTTGTGTCCCTTTGCATGCCGCGATTCCGGAGCTGCCGGATTATCCGGAAAATTAACCGGATGCGCGGTGCTCGAGCGGAGAAATATCCCGGAAACGGGCTGGAATCGGTCCGACGTCTCTACACCCTTGGCGCCCTCAGGGGTGCAGATTAGTCCGAGAAAAACCTTATCAGGAGGGGAATTCCGATTTCCGCATGTCTTGGATATATTCCCCGCATGGCAGGATGGGGTTGCGATCAACGTCTTCACAGAAACACGGAGGATCCGCTTCCCCGGAGTGCGGATCAGTTGCGGAAAAATCCGGAAAGAATTCTTATCATTGGAATTCCGATTTCCGTATTCTTCGAAGATGTCTCGACAAGGATTCCGCGTATGTCGGGATGGATCGTCTTCGGGAGATACGTAGGATCCGCGTTCATCCCCCGTCTGCCGAGGGTGCGGGTGGGAAAGAGCGTTTCCTCCGCTCCGGAAATTCTCAGCGGACGGGGAATCTCGATTTTGGAGAAACACCGAATCGACGAAGCTCTTTCTAAGACGGATCATCGAAGTCCGCGGATTTTTAAATCATCAAGCACGTTTCCGCAGCTCTTATCAGCACGCGTGAGACTTTCCCACCTAGGCGAGAGCTTTCTCCAGGGTAATCGAATTCCACACCGCCGCGGAATCTTAATCGGGAGGGCTTCGTCGAGGGGCTAATTGACATTCTGCGGAATCGCACGCCTGACAAATTGGCTGCGGATTGGGCTGCCAGGACGGTCATAATTGACAGGGGAGCTCCAAGGGTAGATCGAAAATTTTTACCCCTTCCCTCTCCACCTTGGGCACCCCCTAAACCCAAAAGTTCATTAATTACGCCCAATTGTTAGAAAAATTATGATAATAAAAAAATTAACGCCACCCAGAATCCCGACCTATCCTCCAGTCTGAACCTCAGATAATTACAACATGACGTAAGATCCAGGGATAATTATTTCTCTTACAATTATTCCTTATCACCTCCTGCTTTCCCTGACAAGGGCGCGTAGAGCTCAGAGGGTGAGATCGATTTTGGTCGTGAGTGCGTAATTCCGGGCCGATGTATTCAATGAACGACATTAATTACACGCGGATTTGGTTTCGCGACAGAGTAGGGTTTTGCGGGGTGGAGCTTACGAGAAACATACGCGGATAATAATTAACGAGCCGATGGGGGAACGGCTTATGGGGTTGCATTTTATTCCATTCACAGGGGAGGGCTAAGCGGGGGAAACAACGGGGAAACTGGAGGCAGGCATCCGGAGCTTTTGATCCGAAGGTCGGGGTGTTTAAGCGCCGCGTTTCCTCCGCAGGCTCTGAAAAGCTCCCCTCTACCTCGATGTCCTTTTCTCCGGGGGTGCCATTCAGGATTTTACGATTGTTTTACCCCTTAGCCGTGTCCGCGTAAACGCGCACCCCCTTCTTCTCGGCTCTAGGAGTGTCGCGGTTGATGACGGACCTTCCGCGTCCCGGATGAAAATTCGAATCGCTTTTTTATGCGATGCTCGACCAGGAAGGAAACTACTAGTTCCTGAGAAAAACGTGCCCGTTCACTGAATAAACGAGGGGGGAAAAAATCTTGAAAGTCTCCGTTTTAGTGCAAAGGAGAAAATCCAGGAATTAATTCCGATCAGCTGATCGCTACCTAGCACGTGGACGTTGACGTTCAGCATCCTCGGGGGGTGCGTGCTGACTTGGCAGACGTACAGCCCGTGATCTTCTTTTTGCACGGACGAAATGGCTAGTCTCCAATTATTTGGATACTGAAAGCTCAGGCTGTATCTAGGATCCGAACTGTAGGCACTCTTGCCAACCGTCAGGAGCGAGACCCTGTCTGGGCTGCGCCGCATCCACATGACCTGAACAGAAAATCCATGACCTATGTCAATGGCACATCTCACACCTAAATTCCTAACAAGGTCCACGACCAACCGATAAAAATGTTCGCTCACCATTTTATCGGCAAGCATGGCGACCCTGCAGTCCAGAAGCGCAGTGGCCCCCAGGTGCAAGGAGACATTCTGAGACTCGCTGATCACTTGTCCATTGGCATTCTCGAAGTATGGACCCCAGTGGGTCACGTGATGGTGTCTCAGGTGTGGGATCCTCAGAGGCGACAGGAACAACCGGGAGTCCTCTGGAAAAAAAAGTGGAAATTAACTTCGTTACGTTTAAAGGACTCTTTATCGTCTCAGGTTGGCGGCTCGTTTTCTGGGGAGAGAATTCCTGGAGAATTCCGCAAAATTCTGGGAAATTCTACCCACTCGCGGACGCTATCAGGGGTAATCGGTATTCCGGTCCAGGGCTCGTTTCCATGTAGCGACATACGCGGGGCTCCGTTTAAGTGCTCCGATATCGCTTGTCGCGCCAAGGCTCATGTATACGAAGTGTCCCCTAACTGCCGGACTGTTAAATCGAATCCGAGGGGTTCCTCGGGGAATACGAATTTCCCTGGCATTAGGGAGGCGAGTCCACCCCCAAAGTCGATCGCCCTCGACCGGGGTCTCCGATTAACCCTGAAAACCGAAAACGAGTCGCGAGTTCGCGGCCGCTCCGAAAACTGGAGCGCGTTGCTCGGCCCAAGCTCGTTACGGGAAAGAGACCTCGACTTTTCCATTTCACGCCTCGACGAGCCTTGTCGAAGGTGTAAATTTACCGGGAAAATTGTGACCCGTCGAGCGAGGCCGGGAAATCGGCCGCGAGTCGCTGGAAAATCGGCCGTGTTAACGCCATTTGGAATTCCCGACGAAATTTTCTTCAGGGGGTAAATTTTCCGGGGATTATCTTTTTTTTTTCCAGATTATGTTAACGAGCTCGGCTTTTCTCTGCTTCCTGAAGGTGAAGCGGGATTTCGAGGATAACATCGAGGGATGCATCCTGGCGAGGATCTCGAGGGAATCCTCGAAGAGGCGGGGCCGATGCCGATAATTACCGCGATATCCTAATTGCGGGGATGAAGTTAGCGGAGACAATGGGAACGACTCGTGGGGTCCTGGGAGCGTTCTATCCCGAATCAGAGAATTTTGGGGTTAATCCTGGAAATTGGCGATTCCGAAGTCGCGATATCTAACTTTCGATACGACCGCAGAATATTCCACGACTCTTTCTCTCTTTCCGAGGGTAACTTTCTTTATCCCGCTCCCCCATGACAAGTGCAAGGGGTGCACCAATTTTGTAGGTTGTTTCGGAGGGAGGGCGAGAGGGGCCGAAAGGGTTCAATAAAGCCCGGCAAGACGTCGCCTTTTAATCGAAGGTGGTGGCGCTAGAGTTTAATTGGGTCTGGTTGAACCTACCCCCGAAGGGGGTGGAGGTACTCGATGGCACCCTCGACCGAAGGGATGGAGGAGTCAGGTAAATCCTCTTCCACGGTACTTCCGGGAAATTAGGTTTGCCCATTGTCGCGCGATATGGGCCATCCTACTTCCGCTTCCTTTTCCCTCCCTAGCATCCTCCCTCCATATCAATTACGATGAAAAATACTCATAAACAGGGGTTGACGAAAAATTCCAAGAAAAATTCCTGGCCATTTCTCGCGTTTCCAAATTTCTGCCAAAGTCGGTTCGGAGTTTATCCAGAGAGCGGGAGTGCTCTCGGAAGTATGAATAAAGGATCGAGTGCTTCTTCCGTGAAACTTGCAGGACGAATTAAGTGCCATTTTTTAGGCTGTCTCGGCTGATGAACGAGGCATAATCTTTTATGGCGTCGGGGACAAGGATGATTTGTAAGTAGGGGTCGCTTCCCGGGGTCATTTTCGGGGAGGGGCCATGAATTGTTTAGGCCAGGAGAGATGCCTCCTGTCAAAGGAATAAGGAATCGCGGGGTTTCATGCCCGAAACTTCGGGGGATAAATTGGGGAGGATTTTTCAGCCTGTCGGGAGTTTAGCAGTTTGTGTGTTTTTTTTTCCCCCGGGGATTTATCGCCTCCTCGCCCGGTGAAATATGCAGTTCGACATCGACGGAATACGGAATGAAAATTTATTCATACGCGCATACATTTATATACGAGATGCTGACACCTGCAGGGCGAGATTTGTACAGGCGTAATTGCGAGGAAAAATTTTTCCCGACGTGGGATTAGGGGATGAAGGGGGATGAAAACGGAAAAACGGGATTAGAGGACTTTAAGGGACTCTCTGCCAAGATATAATCCAAGGGAAACGAGAGAGACTCGCGGAGTAATTCACGTTCATGGACTGGTAATAATAGTAATATTACGCTGTACGGTATATCGATTGTACAGCAATTACCGGTAACGAGCGATGCTCAGAGCGATGGACAATGGCGTGAAGTTTCGCGAGAGAATCCGCTCGGATGTAATTGAATTAAACTCCACCGAATTCGTATTCAGTTACAATCGGTACTCTCTACACCCCAAGTGAAATTAGTGGTTAAGCACGTCCGGATAAATTGTGTATAAATAGATAGCGACTTACTCCGCGACATAATCTAGAACAAGGAGGTCGATTCGATGATACCTGAAGAGAAGGTATCGATCAATATTTATTATTTCGTATTTTTTATCAATTATTCAGGAGATCGACTGATACTTACGCAGAGATAGTAAAGACGATTCCTAACCCACAGCCTCAGAGAAATCAGGATTTATCCGTGCTATTCAAGAAGGGAGGGGATCAGCCGACGTGATTTACTTCCCCGAGCCATTAACGGAGCAAATGTGGCTAATAAAAATTTACCGCCCCCGGAATGTATTTTTTTTTTCCCTCCCGAAGCCAAGGATTAATACCACCTCGTCCGGCCTCTTGCCTCCTCCTTTTTCATCCGCGATCCCGACCCTCGTTTTTCCCTTTTCCCTCATTCCCATTTGCCCGCACACGGTCGGAAATAAAAGCCCCGAAAATTCCGCAGCATCCCGGAAAACTCCCAGCGGTGGTCCAGCGCCCAGCATCCCTGCGTACCGGACCGATTATGTTTGATTAACGCGGAGTGTTAATCAGGATTCGTATTAAGCGACGATTAACCGGATCATTTCCAGCGCTAATTCGACGTTATGTGCGGTAATTGCCCTGGGGAAATTTATCCCTGAAGATGAATCCTGGAGAGGACCACTTGAAAGTATGAACGAGTTGAAATGGTGACAAGGGACGCTTCGAACATCCTGCCCACTTAAAGGAGGAGCCATTAAGGTCCCTGGATCTCTAAGATTTTCGAGGCCTTTGAGTTTAAGTTCCTTCGCCTCCCTCTTCTGGTTCCTCTTTTGTCAAAGGAAGTCACCCATCCGGCGATGATTCGATCGCTGGGGTCAACGGGATGAGATCTGTCTTCGGCAGCGATCTGGTATCGATCTCTTCGAGTACGTGCTCGGGTACCAAAGGGAAGTCTTAATATCAAGGAGGAAACTTCATCCCAGGATAGAGAGACTGACAGGATCAGACGAGCACTCTCCACCAACAAGATGCATCGAACACGTTCTCTATTGACATCGTGTACAGGACTTGAATGTACGATAAGGATCGATAAAAATTCCAACTCGAAGTGTAATTAAAAATCAGACCCTGTAGGGTTTGAAAAATTGAAAAATAATATACCGGGGTACCAGAGGTAAGCCCTGATGCGAGGAAAAAAATTCTGGTACCGGAAGAGAGGTACCAACCTTGACATCAGCGTTCTCCATCGACGTCTCCCAGAGACCGCGTTCTCTATCGACAGGTTGTACAGGACTTGAATCTACAATGAGCTCGTCGATAAAAATTGTAACTCGCGGTAACGGTAGCTAGACGTGTACTTGGGATTTAATACTCGGGAGATAAGAGACTAAGTATAATGTGAAATAAAAAAGAGTCATCGCATCTCCTGGGATGCACCATCGACTGCGCAAGTAAACGCTTCGGGATTCCCGGAATACCTCAGCAAGGAGCAATAACGCGAGCACAATCCGAATGGCAAATGAGAGCTGATTTCACAAAGGGTAATTCAATCTAATGAAAGTTTTCCCTCGGCAAACCCCGTTTAGTCGGACGGTATGCCGTCTTCATCCCCTAGCGTATGCAAGCCTTCGGCGCATTGCCCGAGCTCGGCTCTAACGAACGCCTCGAACTTCACGCGAAGTCGTGATAAACGAAGCACGGTACTCGTAAAGGCGTCGTAAAGCCGCGAGGCGTTATTGAAGCCGCCACATCTGCAAGGCCGGACCCAGTATCCGTTAAGAAAATCCGCCGAGGCGGTTTCCCAACCGGAAAATCCCGGAATCCGAGAGCTAAATTTGAAGGAAGACTAATGATAAGACGTATCGATCCTGGAGCTTGGAAAGAATTTTTAGACGATTAATTTCATCCAAACCTTCGATCGAAATACCGATAAGCTCTGCTGGGAATATTTCCTGATATTCATTAAAGAACGAAGGCTGGGAGTCCGATATCAGTTTCCCCGATAAGAGTCTTCTCGGCTATTGTTGGAAGGGATACTGGCATTGCTTGGAGACCACCCGGAGGTTCTTTCTCGAGTTTCCTCCAATCGGATGCCACGTCGTTGCCATCCCTTCGGGGTGTTACGACTTTCGATGTATCTCGGTGCATACCGACTCTAACGAGGGGCTCGAACTTCGCGCGAAGTCGCGATAGGCGAAGCTCGGAGGTCGTAAAACCGCCGTAAAGCCAGGAGGCGTTATTGGAGGTGCTGCACCTGCAATCCGGGAACCTTGAATCCGTTAAGGGAAGCCAGGTCCAGGACGGCCGAAATCAAAGCGGGGGTCCCCTGGGTCTCTCCGCTCCCAGAAATCGTCATTTCTGGAGTAGCCATGAATTATTCCGAGAGATCCGACGGCGTCAACGCAAAGAGGGAAATCCGAGTAATTGGAGGCAGCGGTTCCGTTTCATCGGCGATCTCCTGGCCTCTCCAATTAGTTTCCCAATTATCCCCCTGCAAACCTCCAAACTTCCAATCACCTAGTGGACTCGTCGAGCCGAGTCTTCCGGTTGTCATGCAATCATTAAAATCATCCGACGAGCCTTGAGGGCTGATCTCTTTGATCCCCTTTCGCCTCGGAGGGAGCGATTTGGAATCTGCGACGCGTTGTGGATTGCGATGAAAAAAGATCGGCCTCGATCTTGGTTTCGAACTTGATAAACGTGCAAGATTCGCGTATCACCACCCAGATGATACCTTATCAGGGGGATGCGGATACAAAATCGCGCACGTGCAAGATCAAGGCTTAGACTCGGACCTAATTCGGAAGACCAGGGACGACTTTGCTCGCAAGTCGCTAGTGATACCTTATCACGTCACATGGGTGCAGGGGACCATTTGCAAAACGGTAACTCTCATCTCTGACGAGCCGTAAAACGGCATAACACGGGCCGGGGAGAGCGATGACGACCTCTCAAGTTTGAATTTCGAAGGGTCCTCCCATACGGTGCGGAAAGCCCTCGCGGAGGAGCTTTACTGCCAGTAAAATATAGACGCCCATGTCCGAGCCCCATGAATACACGGGGTCGCCGCATCCCCGTGTCTAGGGGTTGAGTCTAGGGGGTAGTTACCGCCAGCTACGGATAAGGGGTAGGTTTAGTGTTTCCACCACTGCAAACCCCCAGCTCTTCGGGGTCCTCCTCATGGGGCACTCCGCTGGCGCACGCAACGCACAGGTGACATCCCGCCTGCATCCCTGCGTGCAATTGCACCCCCGTAGATAACCTTTCCATTACGGCTAATCGAAGTCCCTGATATCGAGGCGCCCCGGTACAGCATCCCGAATCCCGGGAGGTGACATCGACCCCTCCGACGTCTCGATCGTCATCCAGGGATGAGAACGTCGAGAAGAGATGTGCAAGGTGCAACGAAACATGCCGTGCACGGAATATTTCCCTCGCTGGGGAAATTGCGAAAATTCCGAGCTCCGTCCGGTAATTCGCGGCCGGCTCGCGAAATCATTTATTCACGCCCCATTTCGCGGGGGCGAATTAAAGGAAGAGGGTGCGAAGAGAATGGAGTTACCGGGGGATGCAGCTTCTCTATCGGTCCAGAGGCGCCGGGGGATGAACCGCGAATCGGGAGTCTCCACCCTGAAGAGGCACCCAACTCCCTAAAAATTCCCACTCTTACTTCGCCGCATTTTTTATCAAACCGTACATTAATCGATATAACACTTATCGTCTCGAAATAATTGGTACGAGTTTTAAGGCGTTATGAAGCAAAACAAAAAATCCAATTTCAAGGGTCGAAATCGATCGACCCCCCAGATCTCACTTTTACGGCGCCTTAAAGTTCCCAGGCCCCGTATCAGCTCATCCCCCTCCGAGAGGGCTCAGTAAGAACCCTATTGTTGGCACCTAGCACGTAGCTTAACTCTGTACAATAAATACCCACACCCCCAGAAAGGACCATTTGTTTCTCGGGCATTGTTTTCCGGTAAGAAGGGAAGACCATCCGTCTTCCGGCTCCCCTTCTTTCTGACCAGGCCGTTCGCTCGCGAGTTTCCGCGGTTCCCGAGGGACGTCGGGTTGACAGGGACTCCTGTATCCTGTCGACACCTTCGTCCAAGTTCCCAGGATCCCTTTGCCGCGTCTGATACCAACTTGCCTAATCAGGAAAGTATGTCAAATTCGAGGCCGGGCCTCGCCGCTTCGTTAGAGATATCGAGTTTCGCCTCTCGCGCATCAATTCCGAACTTTCCGGAATTGCCAGACAACTCTGCCGACTGTTCCTGGGACAATGGCAAGTCTGGAAGACTTGCTACTCCGGGTGCATTTCCTGGACGGGACCTCGTTCGAGAGCAGGTGCCTCGGAGAAATGCAATTCCCTGCATGAACGCTGCATAAAATAACCGAGGCGTCTCGCCGAAGTCCTACGATGCGGCTGATAAGCTGATAAGCCAGGAATATTGTCCCATCGCGAGATTACGGACCGCCGTCGTTATTACATTCAACAACAATGAATAATTTCTACTTTCAATTGCGAGGCAGATGTGCCGATTCGCGCAGCCGTGTATTTATCATTTTCCGGGGGAATTGTTGCACGGTCGTTGATAATTGTTAATTGTATTCCATTTTTACGGGGACCGTCCCGCTGGAAACGCGCATTATTAATGCCGATCTCGTTTTAATTCATTATTCAACAAATTAAATCTCCCATTTAGAGAAATTTCGAGGAAAAATGTAACGCCAACATTTATTACGACTTCGTTGAAATTCATTATTTAATAGATTATTGATCTCCCGGGAATTTTATTAGTTCCTTTTTCCTTTCAGTGCATCCCATGTTCTCCCTTATTGCATTTTATCGAGTAGGATAAATTGCAGGGATTAATCGAAGAAGTGTAAATAAAAAGACTGCTCGAGCGGAAATAAAAATCACTCACGGGGATGATATCGGTAATAAAATGAAATTCGGGCGTAACATATCAATCGTATAAATTTTCCCCTCGCCGTGGGTGAAGTCCGAGGTGCTTTAACGAGTAATTCGCGTCGAAATAAAAGCTGTCCGAGTAATCC